CCTTTTAAGTGCAAGTACTCATCTGTGACCTAAGCAAAGAGTTTGATTATTATCCTAACATGGATTCATTACTGAGATAAGTCAATTAACACAACCATTCAACTAGGATCAGACAAAGCAAAATAGAATTGATATCCACAGCTATCATTCTACACATTTTGATATATGCTGTTGTTAATACTAGCAATGGGGGTGGGGGGGGAAACCACCATAATATGTCAAAACATCTCAGCAGAAACAAACACTTCAGAAAAGCACACCTGCACATCTGAAAGGTTAATCCACCACCCTTTACTTCAAAATAAGAAATGCAGTGCTTGGAACTCATAACTATGAAGTGTTATCAAAACCTGAATCTGCTAAAATACCAGGGAGTTGCATTTCTTGATATTATGAACACTGCAATAAGCAAAAAACAAACCTGCAGGTTGTAATGAACAAACATCAAAATCCTGGCATTCTTGTTCCTGGCTAGTATTGATTCCATGTGATTCAGAACAGCAGCTGGGCTGATCCTACACAGCACACCCTACAGCTGGGTGTCCTATCTGTCAAGTAACTCTATTTAACATGCAGTGACATAAGCCACAGAATATGGCAACTAATGTGTGCAAAAGAGAAGGTCTAAAAGACAAAGGTGGCTCAAAACATGCCATTCTGCTCTCTGGAGTATAATATACTTCCAGGGCAGTTCAGAGGTAGAGCATGACTAGCACACTGGCAGCCCATGAAGAATCACCTGGCTGCCCTGCACAATCATGTACAGCTCCTACTCCTACCCAGCCCAGCCACAGAAGCCACTTGTTGGGTAGTATTCCCCACCACTGTACTGTGTACAATTATTTGTTGTATTTTGTTCTTCGTACATCACTCCCCTGACTGCATGTGAGCTATCTGCCTCATGGGAGGTTTAGTACTTTGCATACACGCACACAGAGCCACATCGCACAGAAAACCTTGTGTAACAGTGCAGCAGGGAAATGCCCTGCTTGATAGCAAGGACCTGCCTCTGACCTCCTATTCACTCACTGTGGTTTTCCTGAGAATACTGACAGCTTGGACAGACCCTGAACTCTCCCTCTTTAACAGAAATAACCTGGAAACCATTTCCTTTCTCCCCTTCCAGAAGCGACCTTTTCTAACCCCTGTATGCTCTGCGGCAAAATGAGAAATTAGATTCTGCTTGTTGTTAACAAGTACAGACCACAGACTTGAGAAAACTCACAGACCAGTTGAGGCTGAAAGGGACCTCTGGAGATCTAATACAGTCCTCCGGCTCAGAGCAGTCAACAAAAGCAGGCTTCAAAGGACCACATCCTGTGCATCTGGAAACCTCCAAGGATGGAGTCTCCTTCCTCTGCAGGCAACACATTCAGCGCTAGACCACCTTCACAAAAAAGTTTGCACCTGGACACCACGAAAAAAAGTTTAACTCCTTCTTTACACCCTCCACTGAGGTATTTATACACATTGATAAGGTTCACCACACACACACTGTCCTCCTGTCAGGGCCCTGAGGGCACCCACAGGCCTTACTTAGTGGCCCTGACCAGCCTCACCTAGGGCCTCCTCATAGGCCTAGAGCCCCATTTCAGCACAGCCCAGGGGCTTTAGGTCATGCTTGAGTTTTGTGAGAGGAATACTGGTCTCCAACTCACTGTAGTTGTTCCTGTGCCCAGACATAGAACCTGTTGATCCAGCTTTGGATTGACTTCCTGGCTTCAACTCAGACCTGCCTCATCACCACAAACATGCCTGATAAACCCAGCCATGATGTCTGGGTCTGCCCTAATCATTCTTCTAGGTTACTGTGGGACTAAGCCTTAACTGGCAACAGCCCAGCTCACCGTGTTGTCCCCCAGAACTCCCCATCCTGCAGGAAGCAGCCAGCCCTTGCTGCTCCTCAGCATTTCCAGGCTGAGCAGTCCCAACTCTCTCAGCCCCCACCTCCCTCAATCACCTTCACAGCCCTTACTGTAGTATCTCCATGTCTCTTTTGTAGCATGGAGCCCAGCACTCCAGGTGCAGCATCACCAGTGCTGAGTAGAGTGTAAGGATCACTTCCCTTGATCTACTGACCTCGTTAGGTCAGTAATTAACATGTTAAATGCAATTGGCCATGTGTTGACCCCTAAGGTCCTGCCAGAGGCCTAAGTGTGTTTATATGCCTTCATCACCCTGATGAGCTTCACCAGGGGCTTACACCCAGAGCCCTGCCCATGAGCCCAGGAGCTCCACCTAACCTCTTATCTGGACTTCGGGTCCCTGCCTGAATGATGTTGTATCTGTACCCAGCTCTCTCATAACTGTGCATCGCTATGGACTCTCTTGATCTTAACCCTCATCTCTGACCTGACTTCCTGGCTTGACCTTGCACTTGCCTCATCACTCCCTCATGATCACTAGACCTGTAGATTGACTTCCCAGCTTAATCTCAGACCTGCCCTGTCATCACAAACCTATCAAATGACACAGCTGCCATCCTCAAGCTTGTTCTGGTGACTTTGTTCAGGTACTCTGAACTGGGCCCTGGCTGGTGGGGCCCTTGCCCTATGGGCCATGTTACTGTGCTGGCTCCCAGTGCCTCAGAGCAGTTGGCCCTTGCTGTTCCCTGGCAGGCGCACCACTAGTCACCAGCCTCCAGGTGGACTGCACTGCTGATCACAAATGTTTGAGCCTGGTAGCTCATCAGCCAGTCTTCAATCAATCTCACTGTCCAGTTTTTTAGCCCGTACTTCATCATCTTGTCTAGGAGAAAGTTATGAAAGAGATTCCCTGCACCATTCACCAGTGTGCACACATTTTCCCTCATCTTCATTTTGCTGCTGATATACTTGTAGAAGTCCATCAGGTTGTCCTTTAAGGTCCCTCACCAGATTCAGCTCCAGGTGGGTTTTGCCTTTTCTAAGCCCATCCTTGTATGTTCTGACAGTGTCCCTACATTCCTCTAGGATCACCTTCATTTGATTTCCTGCACATTGGGATGGACCATTCAAAAATTCACAATGCTACAACTGATAGCCTCACCACACTGCATGATCTTTTATAATCTTTTATTTTTAAGTGCACTGGAGATATTACAAAGCAGTTGGAACAAAACACTAAGTATCAAACAGTATCACCTCTCATTCAGGAACTAACTAATCACATATAGCAGCACATAAAGAAGGTATACTGGCTTCATTTGGCATTTCTGGTTCTGTAAGTACTGGGTACTTTATCTTAACCACCTAAGTTCTGAGAAACATAATTCCAAAAAGTAATGAGTAATATATTGAATAGTAAATATAGCAATTTCTGTGATAGTTTTGTTGCATATGGCTCTGTTGTCTATGTTCCCATCTGAGGTATTGCCAGTCTCTTTCACCTGTTTTTATACTGGAAATTACACTGAGGTTACTCCCTGAAGGCCCAAGACATGCTCCAGAACAGCCACTAGTACTATGAGATGACAAGGTTCTCCTTCCTCACACTGGCAGCTGAGTTCAGCTAAAACACAGGACAGAGCTTACCTCCACGGTGTTACTTTCTGCTTACTCTCCTAAAGCCAGGACAAACTACCTAGGGCTGTGAGACTCTGCCAAAGAGTCATCAGGAACACAGGCACCTGAAAGATGCACTGGGAAATTCTATGTGCAGAATAATTAATAAATCTAGCAGGCTACAGAGTCCCCTGGGTGTTTTGTTTTTTTTTTTAACTGTAGACTTGTTAGCAGCACCAGAGAATGTAAACACAGAAAATTATTTCATGTAGGGCTGCTGAAGAACTCAGTTTAAGAGAAAGACAGCCCTGAAGTCAGCAGTGAGCACATGCGCTAAAGAGAAACAAATCCATGGTAATTTTCCTTTCAATCTGAAACAAGCTCAGCTTTGACCTGTATCAGCACATTCCAAACGCTCTGCTGTGTTTCTTTGAAGGGACAGGTACACTTAAGCAGCAGACTGAACACAATGGTATAAGGGACAGAAAGCATGTATTACTATTATTCATCAAAGCCTTAGTGAGACTTCCAGAAAGATTATGATATTGGGCGTATATACCATACAAAAACATGTATCTAGACATCTGGTTCAGCACTTAGGAAATGTCCCTGTTCTGCCTCCATAAAGCCTTCCAGCTGATAGAAAGCCACTTTGCAAAGTCATCTCCATTCCTCTAAATCTAGAGAATCCTTGTCTACCTCTAGGCTCCCATTTATGCTTTTGTAGCAGTACAAAGAGGTCTTGTCTTGATGTCTTTATCATGTAATCTCTTTCTTTAAGAACCTAAGCAAATCACACACAGTGTTTTACAAAAAAATTCCAGTGACCTGCCAAAAATGACAAAATGAGCATAAATAAAATGGTAGTTGGAACTTAAAAAGCATAATATATTATTGAAAACACTTAAGCAAAACAACAACTAAAGAACCAGTGTGGTTTATGTACTGTCTATGGACACCACTATGGATGCAACAACGAAAGGTAGCATGACAACTATCAAAAATCCAGCTAAACCAGGAAGATCATTTTTACACTTTTAAGTTAGCTGGCAACTTTTTCTTTCATCTGAACAATCAGGTTCATACCTCTATGTCTAAATTACATATATAAACACTTGAATGTCCATTTGGGTAAAGAAATAGTGAAACTGGGAAGTGCAAAAATAAAAACTTGTATTTTGTGATTGAGGACCATTACAGAGTCCTAAAAACTTTACATTTTCTTAGAAAATAAGAAGACTTCTCAGGCTTACAAACAGCACAGTCACAACAAATGAAGAGATGACTGAATATAAACCAAGCAATAGGGATTTCCCAAACTTTCCTCCATTTGTTAATGTGGTATCATACTTTGAGGACCTTATTGAAGTCAGTAGGAAGATCACCTACTTTGGTAATGAGATATCAAAGGCCTTCTTTCTCCTTTAGAAAGATCTCAGTGAAGTCGCACCCTGGAGCCTGTAGCAAGAGAGATACATCTTTTCCATCCTGCCCCACTGAGAGTTCATGGTCACAAACCTTTTTCTCTGGTAACCAGTTACTATCCACCACCTCAGCCACGGTTTCCACATTGTCCATTACTCCTACAAAAAACTGGGCATGCCAGTTACCTTGGCTTTGTCACTGCTGGTGATTGTCCCTTGCCAGTAACTCTCAGCGGGAATTCACATGGCAGCAATGGACTGGACTTGCTATTCTGTGTCTCATTTGCCATCTCATCTGGCTCCATACCAAGTCAAAGACCCTTTACCTAGTTTGTACACTAGTAAAGTAAATGGTCAGGGACTGTTCTCAGGATCTAATGCCAACTGGACCTCCACAGTTCAGCCTCCTTTCAGCTACAGTGATAACATAGCTACACTTCCCTACAGCTTTCTTCCAAACAAGCAGGACCACATCCAAACTGTCAATCAGGAATAAACTCTGACCCAGCTAGACCCCAAATCATGTCCAAGCACTGAAGCAGTGATAGCTGATCCAGGCCAAAACCATCTGAGGGATGTGCTAGCAATCACTTGTCAGTGTGTGAGCCCTTCCTTAGCCGGATTTACTTTACAACTATAGTTTTTGACTAATGGAAGCAATTCTGTAGCAAAGAACAACTTTAAGAAGAATGATCCAAGCAAAAAGAGGTGTCTCAGGTGCTGACTTGAGACCAGGATGTAGGGACTTATGTCCTTTCTCTGTAATATAGTTTCTATGTGTTTGGGAGCTCAGCTCTTATTCTGTGCCTCTGTGCTGCTCAGAGGGTTTCTTTTAAGATGATTTTTTTTTTAATAGAGCTTAATGCAAAAAGTCTCTGATTTTCCCTGAAGACAGTATGTAGTATCAATAACAACTTTGACAACAGAACGTGCAAATCTAAGGCTGCAGGTATCCACCACAGAAAGGAAGGAAAACAAGGTAACATTATGCCACAAGGAAGGAACTCCCATGCCCCCATCAAGCCACAGTAGCAGCATTATGTTTATAGATTCAAAAGAATTGATCAATCTTTATTTTTTAACAGCTAAATTCTATTCTGAATTATTTTCTTTTTGCAGATACACTGTTTTACACTACAGCTGATACTTTTTCATTATTACTTTCCCATTAGCAAGCAATCCCCACATTCCTTTTATACATCCTTGCAAATTTTAAGACAATTCAATAGGCATCCACAAAGCAGCACACCAGCTTCAATGAAAACAACCCCCCCTAGGCACCTTTACTCACAAAACTTCTGCACAATAAGATATTTATGGAGCTTTATTCTTTTGAAATCATTCACTATTGATTACATATGTTTTGGAGCTATATTATTATTGACCATCAGGCTGTTTATTTTCAGTTTTGATAAACTCTCTTGAAGCAAATGGCTCATGTGAATTGCTGATGGCTGATACATAATTAAAATGTGATTTTATGAGGTTTGTGTAAACTGTTTCTCAAATACACGTAATTTTTTTCCTGCTTATGGCATGACATTTTCAGAGAATTACAACAGATTTTGTAACAGAGATTAATTCCTTTCCCCATTATGATTTTTTTCTCACATTCAAAGAACTAAACTGAAGTAAACTCTGTTTATCCTGCTCACTGTGAAATTGCAGTGTGCTCTGGGCAAAGATGTCGGAATCACACCCTCACAGACTATGAATATAATCCCTGCTGAGTACTGTTTTTAAAGGAACAGAATATTTGGGCAGGATACCACAGGTAACAGAATTTCACACAAGCAAGTCTGACAGAAGTAACTGGGGGTTCTGCATCTGCAGGGATGTGGGGCTTAGAGAAACACTGAGTTGCACTTGGAGACAGAGGACTTTTTTGCTTTTTGCTTTATAAGATCATGCAGTGACTTTTTTCTCGCCTTTTTTTTAAAAACCCTCCTCAGTATCCTGTTGTTCTTTTCACCAAAGCAAATCGAATTTTCATGAGGCAACAAAATGAGATTCCACATCACAGAAACCCCCTACTTAAAGGTACTTTTAGGGGAAGTGTTGCTATTACACGTAGTATTTGGATCCTCCAAAAGACCCAGGGAGGAACCCGGCTTGCGAGAGACCTATTAAATCCTCCCCTGCTGCCATCTGGTGCCAAGAGCAAGTAAATTACTGCACCTCTTCGAAGAGTACCGCTTACTACACTGGTCTTGTGAAGCTGATCAGCTACATCAGCAGGTGTCCTAGCGTCTCATCTCTCTCTCTGCCTTGTCCCTACTCCCTCCATTACCAGCTGTTTGAAGTGAGGCTCAAACTTTGAAGAGAAATGAAAACACGAGGTGCAATTAGGAAGAGCTTGGGGGACAGCAAAGGCTGCAGCTCCGGCAAGGGGGTTTGCACCACCTACCCCAGCGATGGCTGATGCCTCCACCCAGACAGAGCTGCTGAAGGGAGAGGCTGTGGTGCAGGCCTCAGGCTGCAGGATGCGTCCTGACCTCTCTCCTGGGGCAGGGGCAGGTGGCAGCCCTGTATGCAGAAGGTGGGTCCAGGCATCTGCATAGTAGAGTACCATGGGATAAAGCTCTGAAGGGAAGAGGGGCCCAGGAAACCTGGTTGATATTCACGGATCACCTCCTCCAAGCTCAGGAGTGATGCATCCCAACAAAGAGGAAGTCAGGCAAAAATGCCAGGAAGCCTGTGTGGATGAACAAGTAGAACCTGGACAAGCTCAAACACAAAAAG